ACACTGAGAATTAAACTGAATGACAAAAAAACCCTCCACATTATTGACAGTGTTCACTCATATTGCTATTGATTAGGAAAAAATATGTTCCCATGGTGTGCTGCTTGGTTTGGTTTGACAAACTAAATCCATGAGGTTAGTGTCAATAATCTATATTAGAATGCTGCAAGATAAACAACTGATGGTAAAAATGTTACAGTTACATTTATATTAAAGCACAAGAAAGAAGCTGTACGTAGGCCTGTCGCAATAAACAATGAATCAATTAATCGCATGATAAATGAAAATGATCTTTATGAGCTTTATCGTTTCTTCGTGTCTCTCTTTCTACTGAAGACACTGGATGACAAAAGTCTCAACGCCGGTTCTCTTCACTGACCCCTCCCTTTCTCTTTTCTTTTTAAAATCCATTTAAACCATCTAAAATTGAGTTTTTGGATCATTAAAAGCAGCTAAGCTACGAGCTAAGCTAACAGGCCGACCTTGGGAAAAACCTCCGTCTTGTCGAAGCTCCAAAATTCACAGTTGAAACCTGTGCCTTAGTGTAAAAAGTTGTTTTTCTTTGCAAAAAGAAGCTGAGAACTTGTTTACTGATTTTTGTTATTAAAAGCTTTGTGTCAAAAATGCTATGTTCAAGAGCTCAAACCACACAGAGTGTCCGCCATTTTGAGAACAGAAAAACAGGAAAGAGAGACAGCCCATGTCACGTCAAGAGGCCTCCCTCCCATTTTTCTTAAAGAGACACACTGCTCGTTCCCTCACTATCCATCCTTCAGTTCAAATAGTCTTATGCTGCCATCCGGCGATCAAAAAAGGTACTGCCCTCAAAACAAATTGACCAACATTTCTTCTTAAATTTGACAATTATTACTCATTATTGTAACAGTTCAAACAATATTATCGTTTATTGCAATAAATTCTGAGACAATTAATCGCCCAGCAAAATTTGTTATCGTGACAGGCCTAGCTGTACGTCATCGAGTGGCAGTTCAACTGCAAACAGTGGAAGGTAATGTAAAACTGATATCTAAAAGTTGTTTTTTGACCGTTTAACTTCTTGCACACCTGAACTAAAAACGATTGAGAAAAAGGACATTTAGCTCAGTTACAGCGATGAAGCTGTTCTAACTGCAACAAGTGGAGTTGAAAGAAATTACAGGATCACGTCAGTATACGGAACTGATCCTTCCAGGACAAATAACATATATATATATATTAAGAAATCCCTCCAATAGTTTTTGAGATCTACGTCAGATCAAAGTATAGAACATGCAGATGGTGCAAGAGTGTTTTTAATATGTTTCTTAGTATTTATTTATTAGTATGTTTTTAGTATATTTGCTGCATGCTTTGATAGTTCTTGTTGTTGTTGGGTTATTTTGGCAAGTCGAGACGGTTCTTCTCATCCTAAGCATTTCAACGCATTGTTGACCTTGTGTCGATTTGCATACGACAAATAAAGCTAACCTAGAGCTAGGAATGCGTGATATAAACGGTACACGATAGAAATGATAGAAATTTAGCCTACGATAGAGATCTGTCTTCTACCGGCTAACCGCAGTAATGCTGTGTCTGATGTAAAATTAGAGTTGTCAGATTTAATCGTTACTTTTTTTGTTGAAAGCTGTGCGCAAGTGGCGTTAGTCTTTTCTTCGAGGGCTAAGTAGCGAAGCTACAAGCTAACTATGCCCGGCTTGCCGTAGTGTTGCCGTATTCTGACGCATGCGCAAAACGCTGTGTTCCGTCTAAAGGTTTTTTTTTTCTGTCAAAAGTTAAAGTAAGCATTAGTCAGCTTTAGAGAAACCTGCTCTCTGATCTGTGAAAAGAGCGCTGTGTTGTGTGATTTTACTGCGAGACCCTCTGGTCAAAGCCACAGACTCATTTTGTGTCAGCTCTCCATTAAAGCAGAAGGAGGCGCCCACTAGAGGTTTGGAGGTGAAGTGTTTCAGTGTAAAATGCTGCTCTGTTGCTGTTCATTTATTAAGTAAGAAGACTGGAAACTGTTAACAACATATTATTTTGTTTAAAACAATGACTAAAACTACATTTGATATATTTTGCACTGTTTTGCATGACAAGAAAGAAGCATAATACTTGATTTGTTTATTATTCTAAAAACTCTCTGGACCTAGTAGTGAAATTTTCTTAATTCAAAATATATGATGGCAAAAGGACACCCTATGCTTTTTTAATTCCTAGTGCAAATTTTATACCAAAAACATATTGCGATATATATCGTTATCACCACTCTTCACAATACATATCGTGATATGAATTTTATGCCATATCGCACATTCCTACCTATAGAGCCAAGAATCCAAGAACCGACAGATCACACAAACTGACTTTTAGTATTCATTGTGAAAGTGAAAAACTTCACATCTGAGAGGTTATTTATGGCACAGGGAAGAGCACGAAAAACAGAAAGTAAAGTGAAAAAGCCGACTACAAACGTCAGATTATACTTGAACCTATCATAAAGTGGCAGTAGGCAGCACGGTGGCGCAACTGGTAGAGCTGCTGCCTCTCAGCGAGCAGGTCCTTGGTTCAAACCCCAGTCCAGGGGCCTTTCTGGGTGGAGTTTGCATGTTCTCTCCGTGCATGCGTGGGTTTTCTCCGGGTGCTCCGGTTTCCTCCCACAGACCAAAAACATGCATGTTAGGCTGATTGGTAACTCTAAATTGTCCCTAGGTGTGAGTGAGAGAGTGAATGGTTGTTTGTCTCGTTTGTCTCTATGTGGCCCTGTGATGGACTTGCGACCCGTCCAGGGTGTCCCCCACCCCTCGCACAGTGATTGCTGGACATGGGCACCGGCGACCCCCGTGACCCAAAATGGAACAAGCGGGTAAAGATAATGGATGGATGGATAAAGTGGCAGTAAGAAAGTTTGTAAAAATGAACAGAAAACAGAAAAACCCAGGAACGACTGATGTTTAGCTGGAAGGTGTTCCTCAGGGAGCTGAGTTCAGTCAAACATCACAGCTCAGCTGGCCGTGCAACGTGTTTGCGCGACATCTTGGATGGGGAGAGGTGAGAAGTGAATGTATGTGAATATTGTAAGTATGTGGGAAAAACATGGAGGGAGGGCGGACAGAAGAAGGAGTATGTGGTTACGCTGGTATGCGGGTGATGGGAGTGGGGGGGGGGGGCGTTTTAACCGTTACAAAATTCCACACCTTGAAATAACACGTGCGCTGCAAAATATTACTCTCCCTCACCAAACTCTATTAATTTAAACGTGTTCTTTACCACTCTGTGAACATAATCGAGCTCTTAACCTGCAAAACTGTTCTCCAGAATGTTTTCCTGCTGACCTCATCAACATTAAGTCTCAGACTTGTCCTTTCAGCTCCAGACAAAACAGTTGGTTAAAGGTGCACGCTGCAGGAGAACAAATCATCCACGTTTTTGATCGCTATTAACGGTAAGAGCAACTTGACGCCACGGTGACTGCAGCAAGAAGAAGACAAAACAAGCCAGAGAGTAAACAGACCGACAGCACTGATAGGAACAACGAGAGGAAAGTTCAGCAGTTAGTTGTCTTGAATTGCCAGAAACACACCCTGGGAGATAAGTGAGTGAGAGTGCTGACTAATTGAAACAGCTCTTAAACCTCATCAAGCCATAAAACACTCGGAGTGAACTAAATCACAGGCATCACAAGTCGTAACGTGAGCCTGCTGCAGAGATCTGACCACAACTGTCTGCAGCTGGATACAGTAATATGTTTGCAATCAAGTTGTATGTAAATGAGGTGTTATCTTGATGCAAACTTCAAAGTGCTCCACTCATAAAGTGGCTGGACTTAAGACTGTTTCTTTACTTTACTTCCTTTAAAATGCTGGAAAAGTTCCTTCAGAAGTGGGCGGGGCTCTTTACTCTTATTAGCAAAGCTGTGCTGGTTTCCCCTAAAAAGAAAGCCACCTAACAGGGTTTTCTGCAGTTATTTATGGGAAGCATAACGTGCTCCCACTTTCTCTCCTTCTCTTTTAGCTTTATGTTCAAATCTTAATGAAAATGTGAATCAGGATCATCAGAGCATTTTTTAGGCTCAAGTTTAGTGTAAACGCACACACACCATATTCATATAGTTCACCTGCTGAAAGGTACTCATTAAACATACAAGTGTTATCAATGGTGTTGTTCCTGTGGTTTTACACAATTAATGAGCATTTGTTAAATGTGGGCATGCACTCAATGTAAACAAAGCACTTGGCTGAATCCACTGAAACCATGTGAGGGCTAAGGCTGAAAAACAGGTGAAACACTCCGTCTTCAAGTCTGTTTCAAGGTTACTATATACATAATTTACTCAAAAAAAATCTGAGCACGAATACTAATACATGAAACGGCTCATCCATGGACCTCACCATTTTAGGTCACTGGTTCCACTGGTAAACAAACACGCATGGTAGTTGACAGACAGTCACAAATGTTGCACATTAACAACCTAATTTAGTTTCTTTATGATTTTTTTTCCCCACCAGTCTTCATGACTTTGCAATGAGCAAAGTGTCCAAATAAAATGGGTGGTCCATGATTCAAACTCAGCTGCTTCAGATCCTGTCAGCGTTGCAGATTAAATACCACATTAACGCAACATGCGCACATGCTGTTTGTAACAAAGCTTTGCGTCCAACAATGGGAACAAATGGTGTTTTAAACATACAGCAAATGGAGAGTTCAGTTTTAGCTGCAAGTTCTTGGAGGTTGTTTCAGCTCGTTTCTCCAGAACTTGGCTCACAGGGTCTAAAGCTTCGACAAGCTCGAGCTGAGTGGATCTTCATGTGTGCAAACCGAAGCGCGCGTGTGTGTGTGTGTGTGTGTGTGTGTGTGTGTGTGTGTGTGTGTGTGTG